CCCTGCTAAATTAGAAAATTTGTACTGAAATGATTAGTTACTCAGATGAAATATGCAGTTTTCCACTTGACTTTGTGGTGCATAGACCTAATTTCAAGTTATATCACACATGATTAACACTGGGAGTTGGAGGCTGGAGGCTGGGGACTTTCAGGTGAGCAACGGGAATAAGCTCTCATTTGATAGAACCATTTTCTAACATCACTTTCAGCAATTGACAGTAAATAATTAACATGTAGATGGTGATTTTTTAATACAAAAATCAAAGAGCAGCCCATGCTGGGCTGATGCATGATGAGCCTTCTAAAGCAGATTCTGGAATGTCCAAAGGCCTCTTTTTTTTTTCTTCTTTGGGATAGAACCAGTATCTTCCAGGAAGACCTGTTGTCAATCTTTGGAGTGTGAGGAAGGAAAAGAGTGGTGTTTAGTAATAGGCAGCAGGGTGATAAAGTGGGAAAAAATATTTTTCTGAAAGTCAAGAAACCTGTGTCCTAGTTGTACCTCTGACATTAGTCATTTGTAGGAAACTCGTTTCTCCTCTCTGTGCTTAAATTTTCCCTTTTCCATCAGATGAGGAATTGAGGGTCTCTAAAGTTCATTTTAGGTTTCAAAATTCTGTGATGGGGTTTGCTAAATAATATTCTGAATCAATTTTGTTGCCATATTTTGAGACTGTTGGCCTTAAAAAACTCTTAAAGGCACATTTCTTCATTTTTAAAAAAGTTTTGAACTTAATAACCACCAAATAAAGTGAATTTTTCCATGTACAAAGTAGAAGAGAAAGAGAGGATACTACATGGAATCACAAATCTCTATTACATACAGCTTGCTTTCCCTTTAAAGTACATAATAAATTCAACATGTAATTTTCAAGACTTGTTCTGTTTGTGTTTCCTTCTGTCCATTTAAATATCTTTCTTTCTTTCCTTCCTTCCTTCCTTCCTTCCTTCCTTTCTTCCTTCCTTCCTTCCTTCCTTCCTTCCTTCCTTCCTTCCTTCCTT